ATCCGCTCCAACTTTTTCACGCACAGGGTCATCTCAGAATGGAACCAACTTCCACTAGAGATTGTGAACTCCTCCTCCAAAAGGGTTTTCAAAACCCTGCTAGACTCACACCTGGGGCTTACCATCTCCTGATCTAATTGGCTTCCATCTTCTGAAGGAAACCCCCACATTATCCCGCTTGTCCCTGTTATTACTCTTTTCACATCTTCGCTTTCCTCTAAATTTTTTTCCCGATGCATGCATCCTTCACCCAGCGGCACCATATTGGAGCCAGCCACCATTTCCGTCAACATCCCTTTCAGCTCGTGAACCGAACTGCGAAAATGAAGACAAATCCGGAACCGGGAATATTGGGCGTAAGCCTCGAACCCGAGTACTACTTCAAGACTTGAAGACTTAAAGCCTACATGGAACAAATTACAGCTCAAATAGTTGAATGTCCCACCATGAAGGATTTCAAACTAGAGCTGGACAAGGAGTGGTATCTCTTATTCCCAGATCTGCCTTAGGGATCATGGTTCCTTTAGTTTACTCATGAAATGCATGTAACAGATACTGCGCCCTCTTCCTTCCCCTTCTCCTTTCCAGATATTACTCCCTCGTGGAGAGTCGGAAGAAGCTTAACACTTGCAGAAGAGTCGTTACACGGACGGAACCTGCCATTATCAGGACACACAACAGGCGAAGGTTTATCTACGTCCTGGTATTTGAATTTGAACTGAACTGAACTAACTGAAGTAAACAGTAGATGAACTCGCGGTCTTTTAGGCGGCTCTTTTGAAATATCCTTCGGTGTTCGCGGTTGTTTACGAAGTGATAGTCTGCGGGCCGTGTAAAACACTAATGAAGGCGCTCATTCTCATAGGCGGATATGGAACCAGATTGCGTCCTTTAACACTCAGTATACCCAAACCCATCGTGGAATTTTGTAATAGACCTATGTTATTACATCAAGTTGAAGCCCTGATGCAGGTAGTTTTTTTTCTGTAGAAATTCGATTCCTCAGGTGGATGTGGACGAGATAATTTTAGCCATCAATCGTCAAGCCACTGCTTTAGAACCGTTTATCAGGGAGTCCTGTAAATCCGTATGTCCATCAATTCTCCGCTAAGTAAAGTTGTCGCTGTTCCCACAATAGGTCATCCGAGACAGAGATGTACGAATTACTTTCTCCTATGAAGACGAAGCTCTTGACACAGGTATTTCTCTTTGAATGCAAGTCTACTCGTTAGCTGGTCCGTTGGCTCAAGCGGCTGAATATCTTAGCTCAAGCAAAGAACCATTCCTCGTTTTAAATAGTGACATTATTTGCAGTTACCCTTTTAAGCAAATGATAGAGTTCCACCTTTCTCATGGGCATGAAGGCACCATGGTGGTATGTTTTGCGACTCCTGTTTATTGCTTTTCAGGTGACCAAAGTGGAAGAGCCTTCGAAGTATGGAGCTGTTGTTCACAACGACCAAACTGGGTTGGTCAAACATTTTGTCGAAAAACCTTCGGAGTATATTGCAAATCGTGTAAATGCTGGACTTTACATGTTTAATCCAAGTATTCTCAGTCGAATTGAGGTAACATTTCGCATTTTGTCTCAACGTTGTAGGCGAAACCAACTTCGATAGAAACAACTATCTTCCCAGCAATGGTCGCTGAGGGTGAACTTTATTGCATGGAATTAGAAGGTAAGCTGAATATGACTGTGATTGCCTCATGCGCGAGGTGTTCTACTCGTGATTGGTCTTCCTGGCCTTCACTCATACTTGAGCTTCTTAGTTGTACTAGTCCACGGAACCGGCCTCCGCTGAGTCCTTTAGACCTTTGCAGTGAAATTAGTACGATAATTTCAAAAGTCACGGGAATGTTTATCACATTAAAATCCAAACCTATGGCATATAATCATTTTCTTTTTGTAAGAACGACAGCTAAAACGTGTAAATCCCAACGTTTTTACCTTCAGTTCATGTTGTCTTCTTTGTTCTTCTAATTTAGATGTCTGATGGCACCCGGTTCAGATCAATTTTCAATTTATGCAAAAATATCCTGGCACTTTCTTTCGACTCTTTTAGCTGCTTTTTAGCCTACCTTTTGGTCGAACAGGGATAAAGTATTTATTAAACTTACAAAGCAGAGAGCAGTTCAAGTGTACTGAGGGCAGGATTTAACTGACGTCCTGTTTATCTCATGCTGCAAAATGTTTGATGTTGCGCTTAATTTTATGACTTTCGCTCACTTTTTTATGCAAACGATGTGATGCGCTGCGAATGGTTTTTTGTTAATTAGTATTGGCCCAGATTTACAAGTGATTCATAAGACATAATACATAATCGTACAAGGCAAAATTTCATATAAGTGATGTGATGCAGCATGCTTGAAAATTAAAATCATCTTTATGAAATAGAAAGCCCCATGATTTTATATTTAAAGAGATACTTTTAGGTTTCCCAGGCCAAATAAAATGAAGTTTGTTGGAGAATTCACAAACGAAGCCTTTGAATAGCCAAAGCCTGATCTGAAAAGTATCAAGAGGTGTCAAAACGGCAATCCATTTAGGACCGGTGTCCAGTTTACCGGATCACACCTTTTGGACGGATTGCGATGTTTTAGGTGTTCAATATACATCGACGCCCACTTACACAACTACGGTGTGGGTGGGTGTGTTTTGTACGCTTCTTAATTTGCTTGGAATCAGGTTTGTTTTAGCCAACTGCCCTACGTGAACTGCCTCTGGTTCATCGACTCGGCCCCCTCGCTTTAGTATAAAAACACCACCACGGGAAAACAGTGAGCATGGCTTCTTCAGCAGATGCTGTTTGAGACGCGTGGTCGTATTTTAGCAAATCATGAAGTGCAATGGGTGACCATCCACAACGCGCGACGACTACTCTCTTCCTCACTGAGACAGGAGAAGGGAAATATATGTATAACTGGAGTCAATATTATATTTTCTCCTACCTATAATCTACCGTTTTTGAGCATGTGTAGTTAGTATGCGATGAAAACAAGATATAGTGTAGATTCAATAATTATCTTCGCCAAACTATAAACTGACATTTGTGGTGTGCCAACATCCCTGTTGACTTTAGCACTTCTATTAGTAAAGCATACTGATAGACATTTCTGTTTCTGTTCCTTAATGATTATCTACGACGTCCTTTGAAGTGTACTAAGAGTGCTTTTTCCATATTTCGACATGGTAGATTGAATTTCTTGCAATTCAAATCGATACTGTTTTTTCAGTCAATTAAGGTTTTATGAAATTGTTTGGGGATTGTTCTCGAGTGCAGCTGCATTGCTCATCTCAAGTAGATTTCGCATTCCCATCACACGCTGGTTATCAGACTACTGTTTTTGGAATCCACATTAATCCACCAGTATGGGCAAAAATTGTGAACACAGACCAGCCGTTTGCAGCTAAATGTAACTGTATCAGCCTGAGCCTCCCAATTTGTTGAGAATCGTACTTAT